AAAAAAGGGGGGCTAAAAGGTTTTGGGATTTCCCGCGGGGGGTGCAGTGAGACAGGAAAGGAGGAAAGACAGTAAATAAAAATGGAGTATGTAACAACAAAATGCAAGGAGGCAGGGAAAGGTTTTTTCCCAAAGGGCAACAAAAACAATGGGAAGACCAAAGCGGCCCTGGGTTTTCCCCCAAAGGGTCAGGGGGGAAAAAAAACTAAGTGCATTAGAGAATGGAAGGGGTATAGAAGAAAAGGGGACCTAGAAAAAAAAGGAGACAGTAGAAGAGCAGAAACAAATATGCACGATAAGGAGGGAGGCCAGCGACAGTACGAAAATGACTAGATCGAAACCCAATTTTACCAAAACTGCTTTTTTCCCACTTAGGGGGAAAGACAAAAATAAAAGACCTGGTCAGGTGAGGAAAGAAGGTGGGGAACTGCAAGAAACGATCAAGGTATGCGGGGGGTCAACGGAGTTTTAAGGAAATATTCACAGGGGGAAAAGGAAAGGCTCGGGGAAGACAGGACAAGGGGGCACCAAAGGGAATAGCCAACAAGTGTGGACGTAGCACACAATGAGGAGGGGTGAAGAAGTGCTAAGTGACCTTGATACCTAAAAAGGCAATGGGACGGAAATTCCCCCTGTGGGGTCTTTGGGAGGGAGCGATTATGTGTGTGCCATTAACCAAAATTTCCCTTGAAACTGGGCAATCCCTGAGGTAGGGAAGCCCGCAATGTAGTTCCCTTTTTTAAAAAAAGGAGACAGAAAAGGCATGAATTACAGATCAGTGTCATGACCTATATAGTATAAAAAGTCATGGGAAGTTTTCAGGGGGGTGGGGAGCACCTGGAACGGAACAAGATTATAAACGAAAACCCAGCACTGATTCATGGTAGGAAAACCCTGTGCCAAACTTTGGAGTTCTATGAAAAAAGTTACAGAAGTGCGACACGAGAGAGGGGGTGGGTTGTTTGAAATTTTCTTAGACTGAAGAAGGCCTTCGACACATTTTACAAGTGTAGTCAGAAACTAGAGGATCAGGCGCGTAAACGGGAAGGGGCACGCAATGGATCAGAGAATATCTGCCGGGAGGCAACAAAAAGTCATGGTACGGGATGGGGTTTTACAGTGGGCACCTGTGACGAGTGGGGTCCCACGGGGGGTCGGTCCTAGGACCAGGTTTTGGTTTATGTTTGACTGATGGAAGGGATGACTCAAAAGTGCCCCTGTTCGCAGATGTGTAAATTTAAATGGGAGAATTAAATCGTGGGACCGGGGGGACTTCAAAGAGCCTGGACAGGCTGGAACGTGGTCCAGAAAATGGCTTCTTAAATTAAAACCCTGCAAATGCAAAGCATGAAGCCCGGAGAAGGGCAAAAAAGGGACTGCGAAGGGTTAGACTACGTGGCCAAGGACTGCAAAAATCGCTCAAGGAGAAAGTTTTTGGGGTGATCATAAACGAGCATGTCTCCCGGGGGCACACATCAAACAGATAATGTGCAGCATATGGGGCACTGCAAATGAGAATAGCGTTCAGTCCTTAGTAAGGAATCGTTAAGCACTGACACCCTGTAATCAGGGCCATATGGAGATGCAGCACCCGTTTGGAACCACACCCGGTCAAACCATCAAGAAATTAGAGAAAGTGCAAAGGTTGCAACCGGCTGTTCCCGAGCTCAGGGGGATTGTACGAAAAAAGGTTGAGGGGAAAACGGACTGGCGCATTTGAGGCGGGGTCAGGGGAGACATGTAACGACATAGAAAAAATGCGTGGAATAGTAAAGGGAGACAGAGCGGTTGTTCCAAGAGGGGGCAAGAAAGAAAAGGGGGCTAAAATTGGAAGCTGAAAATCAGGAGTCAGAGGGGTGTTGGAAAATATTTCTTCGCTAAGTCGTCAGGGAAATGGAAAAGCTTAACAAGTGATGTAGTGGAGGCAGGAACCATACAAGCTTTAGACGAGGTTGACAAAACCGGAAGCAGAGAGGAGAGGGGCCTAGTAGCGATAAATGAAAAGGGGGGGGCCGGGGGAGTCTTGACCCTGAACCCCCAATTGGGAGTACACAAAACCACACACAATAGACACACATAACTTAAAGGTTATCCACACGAAAGGTGAGGTGTAGTGAAACAATAGAGAGTGAAGGGAGTACGAGAAGGACTAGAAAAGCCCGTTTCCCAAAAAAAGGGGGTACCAAGTATGAGGCATTCCTACTGAGATGCGTGGGTAAGCGAAATAAGGAAAAAAAAAAGTAAATGTAATGATGGAACACTGACCCCCAAGTGAGGGAGGGAGTGAAGTTTTGTACCAAGAGGCCCCAAAAAACAACGGGAAGATAGAGTGAGCCCCCTAGTTTTCCGGAGGTGTGGAAAAACCAAAAAAATAAGTGTGAGAGTATGGGAACAGTATAGAAGGTAAAGGACCCAGGAAAATGAGAAGGAACCGAAGACTCAGAATGAAAGGGCGGGGAAAAGAGGAAACCCAGGGTCAATACGAAAATGACAGCATCAAAAGCAAAAATTTTACCCAATGCTGTTAAACGTATATAGGAGGAAAAAAACGCATGGATGGGTAATCAGGTGAGGGGGAAGGAGGGGAGCTCACAGAGAACGACCAGAAGTTTGTGAAAAAGCTCAGCTCGCGATTCAGGGGATATTCACAGTGGAGACAGGAGGCTTTCCCGCAAATCAAAGGGCTTAGGGTGCACCCGCAAGTGACACAATGAAAGGTGAAGAAATGCTAAGGGGGTAGATTTCGAAAGGCTGTGGGGCCCCGGTAAATTCTTTTGGGTCCTGAGAGAGGAAGCAGATGCATTGTGTGTCCACTAACAACAATCTTCAATAAATATACGAAACAGACAAATGCCTGAGGTGCGGACGACAGCAAATGTAATCCCCATTTTTAAGAAAGGAGACAGACAGGCTACACTAAATTACAGACCAGTGTCGCTGGCATGTATAATATGTTGAGCTGTGGAGCAGATGATCAGAAGAGTGGTGCAACACCTACAAAAGGACGGGTTCATACATGACAACCAGCACGGCTTCGGGGAAGGGAAATCCTGCGTCACAAACCTGTTGAGTTCTACGACAAAGGAACAGAAGTAAAACAGTAGAAGGATGGGTAGACTGCATCTTCTTGGACAGCAAGAAGGCTTTCGACACAGTACCGCACAAGAGACAGGTTGAAAAGCTAGAGAAGCAGGCAAAAATAGCAGGGAAAGTACTGCAATGGATCAGGGAATACCTGACAGGAAGGAAACAGCTTGTCAGTTCTAGACAAGGTGACAGAGTGGGTGCATGTGTCGAGTGGGATTCCACAAGGGTCAGTCTTAGGTCCGGTGCTGTTTCTTGCATATTTGAATGACGTGACGGAAGGGATAGATTCAGAGGTGTCGCTATTTGCAGACGATGTGAAGCTAATGAGAAGAATACAATCTGACGAGGATCGGGTAAGCCTACAAGGTGATCTGGACAGGCTACAAGCCTGATCCGACAAATGGCTTCTGGAGTTTAACCCCACCAAGTGCAAAGTTGTGAAGCTCAGGGAATGAAAAAGAAGGCCGCAGACAAAGTACAGCCTAATAGGTCAAAGGCCGCAAAACTCGCAAGGAAAAGGATCTTGGGGTGAGCATCATACCGAGCACATCTCCTGAGGTGCACATCAAACAGATAACTGCTGCAGCATATGGGCGCCTGGCAAACCTGAAAATAGTGTTTCGACGTCATAGTTAGAAGTCACTCACGACACTGTACACCGTGTATGTGAGGCCCATAGTGGAGTATGCAGCACCAGTATGGAACCCGCACCTGGCGAAACACGTCATGAAATTAGAGAAAGTTCAAAAGTTTGCAACAAGATTTGTCCCGGAGCTGAGGGGTATGTCCTACGAGAAGAGGTTAAGGGAAATCAACCTGACAACACTGGAGGACAGGAGAGATAGGTAAGACATGATAACGGCATATAAGATACTTAGAGGAATTGATAAGGTGGATCGGGGCAAAATGTTTCAGAGATGGGACAAAGGAACAAGGGGTTAAAACTGGAAGTTGAAAACTTCTTCAGTCATAGAGTTGTCAGGAAGTGGAACAGTCTGGGGAGTAATGTAATGAAGGCAGGATCCATACATAGCTTTAAGAAGAGGTACGATAAAGCTGATGGAGCGGGAGAGAGTGGACCTAGTAGCGATCAGCGAAGAAGCTGGGCCAGGAGCTATGACTCGACCCCTGCAACCACAAATAGATAAGAACTCACGCACACACACACACACACACACACATAATTGTTTTTTTTTAAATCAGTAATGATCTAGTTTATTTTGCTGTCTTTTATAATGCTTTCATCATATTATTTTCCGTACCAACTTGCACTCACGCCATCACTTCTTGTGCTTCACTTTCCCCTGGCTATTATATTCAATTGCATTCCCACTTGTACACTTCACGTGCTCTCTCAGATATAGTACTGTTGAACTTTATCTTGGAATTAGGTATTTCACACTCGTCAACAAATATTCTCCACATTTGATCATCATACATAAAAGAAAATAGTGTTGGTATTTTATCCAGAACTTTGCAAATAATAATTTTGAACTTATGTGATCGTTTATGTCTTTCATCCTGTTCAAAATTAGGATTATTGATATTATTCATTTATTTCTATTATGAATAGACTTTCGTATATCTTTTTGTTCATTTTATGTTTTTACGTTCAATCTCTTTTAATGCATACCGTTGTTATAAATGTCTGTATTTCTTACGTTACAGAATATGTTCATGGGGGTAATGGCAGTAATTTTATTTCTTTAATATAAATGAATTTCAAATTAATTTTTTAATCATATCCATCAGAAATATTTTTACCATCTCAAGTGTAAATATTCACAGTTAGGGTAACAATTTTCACCTAAATATATTTTGAAATAGCCAATAAATTTAGAGTACGTGTTAAATTAAACCCCTTGTGGAATAAGTGTGGCAATATGCATGGCAAAATATTGCTTGTTTTACAGCACACAGTCCTGGAGCGAGGTGGTGTTGGCTCCTCGCACACCACCTCCACCCTAGGATCCTCCAGTGATGATGTTTTTAAGGAAGAAGATGAAGATGCAGAGGAGGAGGAGGAGGAGGAGGAGGAAGAAGATGCAGAGCAGCAGCAACAGCAAGAGGAGGCCAAGGCCAGGCTCATTGTATAGAATGATAGAAGAGGATCACAAACTGGAACAATCATTGAATAGAGGCAAGAGGGTTGATGCAGTGATATCAAAAATACTGTCCTAAAGTGAAAAGGAAAACTAGGCATGTAAAAGATAAACTACTGTTACATGCATGTAGTATGGGACAGTTACTATTATGTACAAATTTCTTCAAAATTGTTCTTACCACACAGAAACATGTGAATTTGATTATTTGTTGAAGTAAAAAAATTGAATACAAATATGTGAATTTGATTAATTGTTCAAGTAAAAAAAAATTTAATTAAACTGCATTCAGAATTATCATGCTACATCTTTTAGTAATTACAATATATAAATTATATCACAAAAACTATGTCAATCAAAATCAATTATGAAATGTTTGTACTACAATCCTGGACATTTTTCTTTTAAAATGTGCAGCAATAAAAGTTACGAAACTATCTGAAAATTGTTAATACTGTATATTTATATTCTATTTTTATTTTTTTGAATAGAGACAATTTATTTAAAAGCATTTTACTTAAAACTATATAGATATGAAAATGTTAAAAAAAGATATCTATTACCAAAGAATATGGTAAGAAAAACCTTAGCATTCTCACGATGGCATTTAAATGTATAACTTATTCATTTTATTGAAATGTTGGAATATTATGTTGAAGGTTTTTTTATATAGCATGCAGAAACGTCTACAGTAATTATGATAATTGTTAATGTAAGTGCCAGAGTTCAAGTATAAGCATCTTTGATCACGGATTAACACTGCAAATTCCATCTTGCTTTCATTTGAAGTTGAAAGTAAATGTGTCATTTCTGTAACGAAGTATTTTGTAACTTACTATTCATAACCTTGCAATAAAA